CGCTTCTCAACGCCGTCGCAACACGCATGGCCGTTTGATATCTGAAAACTTCACTTACGACAATCGCTCTCTCCGCTCCCTTCTTCCCTGTCCCCAGCGGCGCCGTGCTGCCACTCTCGCTCACAAGGGGGGGGGGGCGCTACAGGCCCAGTGAATCAGCGCAACCTGCTTGTTGGCCCTCGCCGACGCTAAAGCGTGCGCAAGGCTCGGCAGGCGGTGCATAACCCACAGCGGGGTTTGTGAGTTGCAAGGTGGTGCCGTGGGGTGGGCGACGAGGGCGATCATCCTGCAGCTGCCCCCGACGCTTTGTTGGCCCAGCCGCTCATGTGGCATGCCATTCCACTGCTGGCCCCCGCAGCTGCCAGTTGGCGGGCCGCCGCTACTTGGGAAGGGGGGTGAAACTCACGAGGGGCCCAGGAAATGTCAAGTATATGTCCATGAATCAGCTGTCCTGAGAGCATTGTCTAGTCGGCCCGACACGCGAGTCGCGTGCTCATGCACAGCTGCACGTATGGGTATTCCTTGAGGACCCACGTCAGGATGAAGCTGCATGCAAGGCTCAAAAGATCCAATGTCCGCACATGACCACACAATGCGTGCCCAACCATGAAACGTGCTAATCCACCAGGGTCCGGCCTTGCCGCAGCCGCAAGCTAGCCCGCACTGCCGCTGCCAACGGCCGCCGCTTCGCGCTCCGCCCGCGCCGCGCCCGCCACGTCCCACTGCCCGTGCATTGTTGCCAGCCACTCCATCTCCGCCGCGTTCCAGGGCGCCGGCGGGTTCTGCGCCCGCATCCACCGGACGAGGCGCCAGTGCCCTTTGTGCGCCGCCTTGTAGCAGGCGTCGCCCCAGGGGAACCCGTGGGCCCTCAGCAGCTCGATGACGTCATCACGCCCCTCTTCCGCCGCGTAGCCGCAGGCAAAGTCGCTGGCGGGGGCGCCGGCATCCGTTGCCCACCGCAACCCCTCCAAGTCGCAGGACATCGCGAGCTCTCCGACCACCCGGTGGTCAAAGGGGCAGCCGTGGGCGTGGAGCCACTTCAAGGCCTCCAACTGCGGGTGGCGCGGTCGGCGCCCGGGGATTATGCGGGCAACGAGCAATGGGCTTAGTGGTGGATTCAGGTCGTCAGGGGTTGAAGGCGAGGGCCTTGGGGGGCGAGCCCAGGCAGCGAGGCAGAATGCACCAGGGAAGGTGGTCATGCGGGGCCGCAGACCCTGCGTCCCGCCTGACAAGCACGCCCGGCAGCCTCCAGCCACGATACAGGCGCAGGACACGCAGGGAGTTGAGTCGCGCTTGGCAAGTGGAGGCCGTGGGCAGCGGGGCGAGCCCGCAGCGCACCTTGCCTGACTGAGCGGCAGCTTTGGCCGCACTCGCCGTCATTGGGATGCCCTCATCCAGGAACACCCGGCGCATCAGCTCCACACTGCCGCCCCACGCCGCTGCTGACGCCAGCTCCTCGAGCCCCTCATCGTCGCCTGGGACCAAGCGCCCCCCGCGCACAAGCGCCCACTCCAGCATGCTGACATCGCCGGCCTGCGCGGCGCCGACGCAAACGTAGCTGCCAAGCGGGCACCCGTGGTCATGCGCGTAGGTGAGCGCGGCCATGCTGCCGCCGGCCGCGGCGGCGTTAGTTGTGGTGCCGTCCCACGGCACGCCGCACGTGTGCAGCAGCGCGAGCATAGAGACGTCGTTTTGCCGTGCCGCCACCTCACAGGCACGCACGTCGAAAGGTACCACGGTGCAGCGCTCGGGCTGCAGTAGCCACTGAACCATTGATGCATCCCCCCTGGATGCAGCACAGACCACCGCTCCCGGCTCCAGGGGAAACGGGGCCCTGTTGCCGGGCTGGCCTTCGCCTTTGCCTTCGCCGCCGCCGCCGCCGTGGCTGCTGCTGCTGCTGCTGCTGCTGCTTTTACCGCCGCTGTCGGCCGCGCCGCCTGTACAGCAGTGTTGGAACAATATCTCAAGGCACTCCAGGCTGCCCGCCTCGTACCCGGCCGCCTCCCTGGCCGCCCGCCCACCTGCGGGAGCGCCGTCGGCGAGCGCCCAACGCAGGAGCTCCGAATGCCCGCCCCCTGCCGCGGCGGCGGCTGTGTCCTCGTCATACGGGGCGCCGTGCTGCCTGAGAAACTTCAGTGCGGCCAGGTGGCCGCCGCCGGCCGCGCGCGCGCAAGCCTTGGCCGTGAACTCGCACCATCCCGCTGGCCGCCGCGTGCGCTCGTCTGCCAGGTATTGCAAGACCCCGAGCTGCCCGGCTGCCGCGGCCGCGCCCGGGGCGCGCGAGGCCAGGCAGCCGGCGTCCAGCAGCGTGCGCAGCGCGCTGAGGGCGCCGCCGGCCGCGGCGGCGGCGGCGGCGGCGGCGTCGAACCTGCAGAGGCCCTCGGCCTGCACCCAAAGTAGAGCCGCGGTGTCGTCATGGAACGCGGCAGCCGCCACGTACCTTTTCAGCCGGCTCCCCACGTTGCGCCCCAAGCCGTGCGTGTGCTCGCGCATACGTGCAATGGCTGGCAGCCGCTCTCGCGCGTGCCAGAGAGGCACAAAGGCGTCGCGTTCTCTGTGGCGTGCGTGCGAGGTGCGCGCAACGCGCGGCTGGCCAGCGGCCCAGGCGCGCCAGAACCGGCTGAGGCGGGGAATGGTGATGTGCATTAGGCTGAGCGGCAGCGCCGCAAACACGAGCTGCAGCGCTGTTGCGTCCGATCCCACAGATGCAGCTTGCGCCGTTGACCCGCTCGTGGTGCTCTTGGCCGGTGCTGAGGGGCTATGCGGCTGCACCATGCCGTCGCGTGGCTTGCATGGCTCCTGACCCACTTCCATTGCTTTGAATTTTTTTGGGCACCTTCACTCTGAACGGGCAGGTTGAGACACTCGATGATTTGTCCAGGTTACCTTCGAAGGTATTTGCGAGTGACGACCGGTGTAGATCCCTTGCAAGCGACCCGAACGCTCTTGATTCCCCAAAGTATCAGCTGTTGTATGTTGTAGCGGGGCGAGCCTGGTTGCGCCTGGCTGCAGCAGCTCCAAAGCGCCTGCCCAGCAGCTAGCACGGAGGTGGACAGCAGTGGCCGAATTCGCAGTACGGATCATCCACGAGCAGCGCCGCCTGGCCTTGCATGCGACGGGCCTCGCCCAAGCGCTGCATTCCACCAGCAAAGAGGGGTCTGCAAGGCCAGCTGATGAATTGCTGGTGGGGTTTGTTCCTGTGCAGCGCCAGCATGCTAGCACACTCACAGCGGCCTGCCCACCATGTTAACAGAAAACTGAAATTCCAACTGCCTGCAACACAGAATTGCCACAGCCCAGACATCTGTATAATTTTGTCGTGACACATTCGTATCTCAGCCAAGTCACAATCAGCAGCCCAGATGGCAATTGAGATGAGCGTCAGGGCAGAACAAATCAAGGACCAACACGCGCCCCTCCTATCCGCCCCCCCCTCTTTCCTGTGTCATCGCTTATCTTCCTCCCGCTTCCAGCCGCCGCTGGTTTGCGCAACGTGCCCTGGCAGGCTCAGGTGCAGCGCGGTGCGGGCTGTCAACGGCCGGTGATGCGTGCAAGTGGCCACAGGGCCACCTCACTACAGTGTTTAACGCTGACACGCAGGTGTGGCACCTCCAGGTGGTAGGTACGCATGTCCTAGTGCCGCAACGAGCTCAGCACCCGTGCTGCCGCCGCGGTCGACAATGGCCTTGAACCTGAGCGTGCTGCTGGATGCCAGCTGCTTGGCCTGGAGCTCTCCAGGCCCAGGCGCATCAGCCAGACGGGTCGGAGTTGAGCGACACATGATGGTGGCTCCTTACCTAGCCTTCCCAACGAACCAAGCAACCAACCAACTAGCCAAACACACCACACACACCTTCCTTGGAAAACCAGGATGGCATGCAGCCCTACATCTCAAACCGACCCAGCGACTGATTGTGAATGCTGTGCGTATGTGGTTGGAGGCAAGTCGCCAACCGTCAAACACGTATGTGGTTGGAGGCAAGTCACAAACCGTCAGACGTGTTACAGCTCTTGGCAGCGCATGTATGGCCTCTAGCGCCCATAATCCCTTGCATTTGCAGCAAGGCTCAAAGCATTTAACGCACGAATTGTGTCAGCACATTGCTGGATGCCGGGCTTTGACAGGAAGTCCCCCCTGCAGTGCTGTGCGCCGTCGGATGCTGAACACGTCCCCAGATCCCGGCAACACAAGCGCTGGTCGCGCGCCGCCGTCACTCGCCAACGCTGAGGGGCGGTGCTGAGGCAATGGAGGTGAGTAAGCGTGCTGCTGCTGCTGCTGCTGCTGCTGCTGCTGCTGCTGCTGCTGCTGCTGCTGCTGCTGCTGCTGCGTGACAGGCGCTTCTGAGGTGGAGGCATGTAATTCCTCCGGCTGCGGCTGCGGCGTTGAGGGCAGGGGCGCAGGCGCCTGGGGCTGCACAAACGTTGGTGCTTCCTGCTGCACGCTGCCAGGGTGCTCTTGCTGCTGCCCAGTTGTCGGCCCGACCAGCGCAGCTGTGGCTGGCGTGGTGCTCGAGGCAGTTGTGATGTTATGGAGTGTAGGTGTGCCACCAACAGATGCGGCCTGGAGTAGCCAGGCGGCGGCTGGTGGCGCGTTGCTGCACTGCAAAGGGACATCCTCTGGGGGAGGCGGGAGCGTGTTGGCAAATCGGACGCGCCTATCGCAGGCGCGGACGTCGGGCCTCTCGCTGTCCCGAGTGCCAGCGTGCAGAACGCGCTCGACCCCCAAGACAAGCTCGTCATCCGACCCACTGTGGCTGCTGCTGCTGCCGCCACCAAGGCCCCATTGGCGGCGGCTCTGCAGCGTTTGTGCCTGCTGCGGCTGCTGCTGCGTGCCTGCACCCCCGCCGCCAAGCGACGCTGCAGGCTTAAATGTTGTGAGAAGGCGGCCCAAGCGCGTGTCGATATCCTCAGGAACCGCCCTTGGGGCGGGATAATCCCGATGCTGCTGATGTTGTTGCCGCTGCTGCTGTTGTTGTTGCTGCTGCTGCTGCAATTGTTGCTGCTGCTGCTGCTGCTGCTGCTGCTGCTGCTGCTGCTGCTGCTGCTGGTGCTGTTGCCGCTGCCGAGGTAATGGTGGTGCAGCCGCCTGCATTGCTTGCGAAGCCCAGCCATTGCCAACCGGGGCTGCCGCAGGGTTGACCGCTGAGACGGCCGCCGCCACGGCAGAACCAGTTCTGCCAATCCCGCCAGCATCGCCGCCGCCGTGCCCCTGAGGGCGGCATATCTCAAACATCCAGTCCTGTGCCTCCAATAGAGAAGGGCCCGGCGGCGGCCCCAGGGCCGCATCCGCAGAGGCGGCAGTGCGCTCGTCATGCCTCACAACGGTCCTGGGTCGGGGAAACCGTTTGTTTGGGAGCGTGTCGTGGGGCTGGTGCGGTTGCTGCTGGGTTGAATTGACAACCGACTGTGCAGAATGCACAAACCAACGCAATTTGTAGGCAAAAGATGCCCGCAGTCGCTGAAGGCAAAGTAAGCCGCTCCCGTGGCAAACAGTGTACATTGGTGCCCCGCACCCGTAGATTGCCATGTCGTCATCGGATCCGTCCGCCATGGTCCAGTCGACGTTCCCAAGGATGTCGTCGGTGTCACCCGAGGTTTCTGACGCGCCGCCGACGACGGCGAGGTCGTCGCCATCCTCTGAGCAGGTGCGCAGGCGGTTGCATGCGGCCAGGTGCTGCGCCCGCTGCTCGTCCTGCTGCTGCCGCTGCCGCTGCTGCTGTTCGAACCCCTGAAGCTGCCCTTGCTGCTGCTGCTGCTGCTGCTGCTGCTGCTGCTGCTGCTGCTGCTGCTGCTGCTGCTCCTCCTGCTGCTGCTGTTGCTGCTGCTGCTGGTGCTCGTCCCCCTGCAGCTGCTGTTGCTGCTGCTGCTCTTCCTCCTGTTGCTGCTGTTGCTGCTGCTGCTGCTGCTGCTGCTGCTGCTGCTGAGCGCCACTTCTTGAAAGCTCGCCGCGGCTGATGCTTGCAGAAAGGGGGCTGTGGGACGCTGTGTCCTGGCCAGCTCCAGGCTCAGGCGCACCGGCCTCACCCGCAAGCGCCGGCGATGGTGCCTCCACATGTGTGCTGGGGGCTCCTGATTGGTTGGACCAAGTGGAATGGGCACCGGGCTGTCAAGCATCTCATCACCGCGGGCAATACCGTACGTATATGTACGGCTCACACCTGGCAGTGCAAGCCGCTTTGCAGCTTTTAGCTGATCTTGCAGGCACAGCCCCATACACACCTTTGATGGGGGTGGCATGTGGGGTGGGGGCCAGGGATGGGGCCAGGGAGCTGGAGAGGCGCTCAATCAGCCGCGCAGACAGCACGTCCAGCTCCTGGGGGTCGGAGGGGTTTGGGATGGCAACATTGCACCAGATGCTTCAGAGCCTTGGCAGGACCTGAGATGACTCCTTTTGAATTCTTACGCGCCCATTGGCATGCGAAATCCATGCTGCCCTGACTGCATGACATAAAGATGCCCGCAAGCTACCCCAAACAGGCCCCAGATGCAGACCTGCAGGTTGCTCCTCAGGGCTGCCATGAGTGCTTCTGAAGAGGACCCCGCCCGCTCGGCTTCCCGTGAGTCCCGCAACCCCGCCGCGGCCGCAGCCCACCAACCCGCAGCCGCGGCCACCGCCTTGGGCGACCGGGGCCGCGGCGGCGCAGACGGCTCGGCTGGCGGCGCGCCTGGCGACGCTGCTGCGCCTATCAGACCAGATGTCTGCGCGAGCGGCCGCTGCGGAGAGGAGGGGGCGGAGCGTCCGCTGGCTCCTGGCATGGGCGTCACCTGCGGCAACCGCGTGGAGGGGGGCGGTGAGCATCAACTGCCTCAGCACAGCTCAGAGAAATATGTACGCCTTGCTGCCCATTACTGCAAGCTGTTAACAGCTACTCCTGGACGTACGCTGCATCCCATAGGCTGCAATGGCTCAAGTCCAGGCACATGCTTGGCGCCCGGTCACGAAACCAGCACCAGCTCGCACCTCGACCTTGATCTGACCTCTGGGCTGCCGGTCGTGATCCACGAGGTTGTACCAGCCATCCAAACCGCCCATAACCGCCAGCGCCGACAGGTCCACAGCGGCGCAGCCCAGCAGGGCGTCGTCGTGGCGCGGCTCCGCGGGCGCGGCGGAGCTGAGCGCCGGCAGTTCTGCGGCAGGCGGCAGGGCGCGCAGCCACAGCTGCAGGGACATGGGCGGGTGGCAGGGTATGGAGCCAGGTAAGGGGAGCCGTCACTGAATGGTGTTTGCCGGATCGGCGGTCGTGAAGGCAAGATGTTGAAGACCGTTCCTGGTGTGAAAAACCCTTGTGTGAAAACCCCAGACATGGAGGACATTCCCGATGCAAACTGACCTGAAGGAGCAGCAGAGGGGCGTCGCGGCCAGCGCCGGCCGCGCCAGGCTCCGCGGCGCGCCTGGTGCACCACTCCGCGGCGAGCGGCAGCAGGCGCGAGTGGAGCCACCGGGCGGACCACGCGCCCCCAAGCGGGCCCTGGTTGGCCAGCACCAGGTGCGAACACTCCGCCGCGCTGCTGCCTGGCCACTGGTAGCGGATATAGACGCCGGCCCGCAACCCTGGGTGTTTGAACAAACATCAGAGGATGCCGTGGCAGAAGAATTCAATAGTCAACAGTCATCCCAATCGCACGCGCTCAACTCTGGCCTTGGCCGCATGCAGCGCCGCCTCAGCCCCTGTGTACTGCGTGCAGTGTCACCACCAGCCGGTGGCCCCGAAGCCCGCCCCGCACCTTCAGGCAGCTGTGAGATGTCGAGATGGAGGGCCCTCTCAATGCACAGCCGCACGTCCATCATCCCAAACCGTCCCGCCTCCGTCCCCGCTGCCTGCTGCTGCGCCTGCATTGCGCTCGTCACAGCGCCCGACTGCCGCGGCGGCGACGAGGGGCCGGAGGGCGAGGATACGGGCGCAGCCGGCGACACGGACGGCAAAGGTGCGGCTCCGCCGCCGAGCTGCTGCTTCTGCGGTGGCGGCGCCGCGTGCTCCACCGCGGCCCGTAGCCGCTTGCCATGCCGTGGCGCCTCGGACCCCCAATCCTCGCCCTCCAAATGTTGGGCCGGAAAGGCCGGCAAAGAGCGCTCTGTCGAGAACGGGGGCGGGCTCTCGCCGCTGCCGCCCTCCCTGCTATAGTCGCTGCGTGTGGCGGGCGACGACGGCAGCAGCTGCCGCCTCAGCTGCTGCGGGTACGGCTGGGACGCCTCTGGCGACAGCTGGCGGCCGTCTGGCTTCCGGTCGGGCGAGCCGCGCTCGCTGCCGCCGCTGCTGCGCGGGCCGGGCAAGGGCTCGTAGAGCCCCAGTTCAGGGGCCTCAGGCTGCCCGTACGAGGCGAGAGCAGACGCCTCGCGGAAAAACTCGGCGTCCGACAGCGGCGCCGCTGCATGGTCCCCAAGGTGCGGCAGGGCGGCCGCAGGTGACGGCGCGGGGCCCAGCAACAGCGACTGCTGCGAGGGTTCCTGTGGCGATGTCGCGAGGCCTGTCGGCGATGGCGGGCGTCCCCCATTGAGCGCTGCGGGCGACCCCACCGGTGTCGGCCGCGGCGGCGATGATAATAGCGCATGAGGGCCCGCGGAGAGCTCCCAGAGCGCCTCGGAGCCGGGTCCAAGGGCGGGCGGCGGCGACTGAGGGGGCAGGAGCTCGAGCAGCACTTTGACGCTGATGTGGCAGTTCCCCAGGTCCTTGGCCATCGGGTGGACCAGAGCAAACGTGCCGCTCAACCACCTGCGGCGTCGGCGGGCGGCGCGTGCGAGGGTGTAGGACATGGGAGCCGAACAACAACAGGGTGCGCCGCTTTGCGCCGGCAACCGGCGGGGGCCAGCGCTCGATGATACCATGGCGGCAGCTGCTCGCAAATCAGGAAACTAGCAAACATTGCTTGTCGCACGAGGCAGAAGATTTGCAGATGGTCAATGAGGTCCCTCATATCAACCCACCTGGTCGCGGGCTCCTCGCCCCCGGGCCGCGCCATCAGCAGCGGCGACAGGTCGACCTCCGCCGAACCCACAGGCACATCCACCACCCGCGCCTCCCCGCCGCGCCCTGCGCCGGCGACCACTTCCTGCCGGCTCACGATCAACGCCAGCGGGTGCAGCAGCAGCGCCCGGGCCAGCGCCGCGCCGGCCGGCACCCAGGCGACGCCGCAGTGCTTCAGCGCCACCGCCCATACGCGGGCCGCGCCGGCCGCGCGGGCGGCGGCCGCGGCGGCGGGGGCCGGCGGGGTTGCGCGCTCGCGGGGAGAGCCAGGGAGGCGGTAAGAGGCGGCGTACTGACTGGCAGCCGGGCGGATGGGCGCGGCGGCGTCGGCCGCCGGCAAAGACACCGTGTCGATGTAGATGGAGCACCGCGCCATTTGGCCTTTGAGGAGAGGATCCAGCGGCGACGCGCTGCCAAGCGCCGCAAGGGCGAGCGGCTTGAGGGGTGGCGGCAGGGGCGCCAGCCACTCAGGGAAGCTGTGAAAAGTGGAGATGCAGGGGCAGACTGCGTCAGGCGGGATGGGTTGCTTGTGGAGAATGTATGACAGGGCACGGCGGCGCGCTGTGAACCTGCGGGGCTCAGATTAGTACACATGTCAGCGGCGGCAGCAACGTTGGGCACACCGCCCGCAGATGCTAGCGCCCGTGCGCTGGTGCTCGAAGCAGAATGGCACGAACCCTGGTCACCTCTCAAGAGGGCATTTGGCTGTGATGCTGGTGTCGTGGGGGCGGCCACCGATGCGCGCAAAGCAGAGGGACACCTGGACTGCGCCCACTGGGTCGCCGCGGCGCGACCTGAGCAGCAGCCAGCTGCCGCTGATCCCCTGCGGTCGAAGTGGGTGGTGTCAATGGGAGCACAGCGAAGTGAGGGCCCTTGCATGGACTGGGGTGGTGGTTCAGGTGCCATGGTGACCAACATGACCACTTGGTTTCCAATAATAGGCTGGTCTGTGCAAGACCGTAAGCATTCGCTGGACCCAATGCCGACTGACACACCCAGCGCTGCACCCACCTGCGGCCTCATCAGCAGCGGCGCCAGCGCGATCGACGCGCCGCCAAGGAGCACGCTCTGCCGCGCCGCCACTGCCCCCGCGCCGCTGCCGGCCGCCGCGTCCGCGCCGTCAGGGGCGCCGACGGGCGCCGGCCTGCCGCCGGCGAGCGCGGCGGCGACCGCCTGGGAGCGGGGCGCTTGGTGCCACACCTCCACCCGCGCCTCGCGCGACGCGAGCGCAGTCAGGGTCTCGGCGTCAAGGGTGAGGGGCACGAGGTGGCGGAAGCCAAACTGGGGGCAGAACGTATGGGCCTGCGCAAGGCGCGCGGGCCATCGGTCGCAGCCGTCGCGACGTGGTTGGGACTTGAATAAACAGCTTGGAGAAAGAGATGAAATTGGACACAGCAGGAAATGGCATGATAAAATAGTCCTAGTGGCGACTAGCTGGCAAACCAGCAGGCAAGTCAGCGCAAACGGACCTTGACGGGGGTCTTCAGCAGCAGCTTCTCACTGCCCGACAGCCCCAGATCGATCGTAGCAAACGGGTGCGGCCCAGATTGGTGGGCGCGGCCGAGGAGGCCGCCGTCGCCGCCAAGCCAAGCTTGCGCCTCCTTGACCGCGGCCTGTCAAGTAACACACCATGACATTCCAAGCAGCCAGAATGTAATCAAGAGGTGGGAAGGGGTAGAGACATAAGCAGGGTCAACATGAGACGAGAGTGGGCTGCAGTGGTTGGAAAGCGGCCTGGCAGCTCTGGGGGGCAAAGCAGGCCGTGACCAGGGGCGGCACATGCGTGCACACCTGCAGTCCACATGCCCTGATGATCTCGATGACGAGCTCAGCCCCTGGCTCCGCCGCGGTCGCACCACCCGGTCCCACCGCCGGCAGATCCCCGGCGGCGCGGGCGGCGCTTTGGCCGCCGCCACAGCTGGCTAGGTCCGCCGCCGCCGCGCCCGTGGCGCCTCCGCCGCTGGGGTCGCCGTCGAGAGCTTTGGACCCATCGACCCCCGGGCTGCCGGCGGGGCACTGTGGGACGCCGGCCGGCGCGCTTCCGCTGCTGCCCTGGGTGTCGGCGTTGCCCGGCGCGCCTTGCTCTAGATGCGCACCATCTGCACCATCCTGGTCACCGCCTCCTTCGCCAGCATCACCCGAGTCAACAGAAAAGCAGCTCTCCGCGCTGTAGCAGACGTGCACCTGCAGCAGCGGCGCCAGCCCCGGCCCCGCCGCAGCCAGCGATGACGCGGCGGCCGCGGCGCGCGCCTCGCCAGAGGACGGGTCTAGCTGCAACGGCAGCAGAAAGGCCTGGCGCGCCGCACTGCAGTCTGGCGCAACGGGGCTGTCCACGGCGGCGAGCGCGGCGAGGTCGGCCAGGGGCAGCTGGCAGGAAGCTACCATGGCGTCACTGTCGTCCTCCCATTTGTCAAACACCTGGAAGCCAGGGTTGGACCGGGGCTGCAGGCATATTTGAAAACTGGGATGACAGCTGAGGTGGATTGGCAGACGGGCAATTGCGCTGGCCGTGTCGCCTCGGGCAAAGGGTGTGAAGCTGAGGTTCATTGCACCATCATACCTGGAACACCAGCAGCGCAACGCCTGCGCTTTCAATTGTGCCTGCACCTCCACCTCCATCCCCGCACAGGTGCTCCGCCACACTGGCGCAGGGCGGCAGAAGGATGGTGTGGCGTGCGCTGGCGCCAAACACGGTCGTGGAGGCGCCGCCATCGTCGCCGCTGGCGCACGGGACGAGCCCGGTGTAGAGGGCCTCTGGGTCGCCTGGGGAGTGATCAGCCGCAATCACAGGCGCAGTCAACGGGTGTAAGAGTGTCGGTATGAGCCCCATGTCACACGCATTAATCACTAACAGGATCTCCGAGAGGTGTGATATGCAATGCAGACAAGGGTGAGGCACACGGACTGGGGACAACACAAGTGAAATGGGTGAGCAAGCAGCAAACTTGCATTCGCTCCGCTTTGCACACCATGCCATCACCTGGGAAGCAGTAGCCCGCGAAACGGAACTCGGGCGCGGCCTGCCCCGCGGCGCGCAGCTCCCGCGGCCCCGGCAGGCCGCTGGCGCTGTGGATGGACACGTCAAAGTGATGCAGCACGCCGATGAGCGGCGCGGGGCGGCAGTTGGGTTGCGCTGCCTGCTCTTCCTGCTCCGGCGCTGCATCCACACCCAGGTCCTGCATCACATCGGGCTGCCCCTGTCCCTGCCCCTGTCCCTGCCCCTGCCCCTGCCCCTGCCCCTGCTGCTGCTGCTGCTGCTGCTGCTGCTGCTGCTGCTGCTGCGGCTGCTGCTGTTGCTCCCCAGCATTGAAATCCAACGAAGCGTGTGAGTCTGGCTGCTGCGAAGGCTGCATGGGTGGCGCCGCAGGCGGCAGCAGGGTGGCCGCCAGCTGCAGGCTGCCGTTCTGCCGGCCGCCCAGCAGGTCCCACACCGCAAAACTGCCGGACGCCAGCAGCCGCGGGCTGTCCAGCTGCAGCGGGCTCCTGCCCGCCGCCGCAGCCGCCGCCTCTGCACTACCTGCGCCGCCGCTGCCGGCGCCGTCGCCGCCGCGCTGTGTGGCTCCATCGAGGGGAACCCGCGCGATGCCCAGCAGCCGCCTGCACTCGCTGGAGCGAGCGCCCGCATCGGCCCCGGCCCGGGCGGGCGTGGACGCGCCCCACAGCTCGATGGCGACAATCGGCCTGTCTGTGGCAAGCCTCGCCTCGTGCAGCAGCGAGGCGGGGCCCTCCAACTCGACCTCCACCAGACCGCAGACGTGGTCGCTGCTGCTCCTGTTGCCGCCGCTGCCGCCACCAGCACCGGCGTCCCCATCGCCGCCCCGCTGCCACGGCAGATCCACCTCAGCGGCCGCCGCGCCGGCGCGCACGCGAGCCGTGAGGCGGCAGGCTGGGGCACCGTCTGGGCCTAGCACACCGCTGGCTCCCAGCAGCGTCACGACGAGGGGTGGGCCTGGGGGCGCCGCCTTGCGCTGTTGCTGCTGCTGCATGCTGGACCCGCCTGCTTGCTTCGCAGGCTGGCCTGCAGGAGCATTGCTCTCTCCTGCCCCGCGCTCCTTTCCGTCGTGGCCATGATCCCCCTGCTGCGCGCCGCTCGCCTCAGCATCTGGGGCGGCCCCGCCGGCCAGTGCTGCTCGCCTTTTCGCCTTTTTGGGCGGGAAGAAAAGCTCCCTGAGGAGCAGATCTTCGATCTCCTCAATCTCATCGAGATCTGAGAGCCCGCTGCTGTAGCTGCCACAGCTGCTGCTGGCGCCGCTGCTGGAGCCCTCCTCCTCGCAGCCTGCCACTCCCAGAAGCGGCGTTCCCGCAGCCACGCTTCCAGCAGCGGCCGCTGCAGCAGGGGACAGGGCGGGCGGCGGCGCCCGCGGCGGCTGGCGGGGTCCCGGGCTGGTGGGCGTACCCAAGTCCCCTGCCATCTGCACCAGGCGGCGCCACGCCGGCTCCTGCTGCTGACGCGGCGGCGTCTGCGCAGTCCCTGTTGCCAGAGCTGCTGGGTTAGCAGCGGTCGAGACAGCAAATGCTGCCTGCGGGGGCGGCACATCCAGCCCCAGAGCAGCACCGAGCCCCTGCGCCACCGCCTCGTCCATTGCAGCCTTGAGGCGTTCCGCCTTGGCGATGATAGCGGCGATGGGATCGCCACCGTCATGGTCGGATTCGCCTGCCTTCTGCTGCTGCTGCTGCTGCTGCTGCTGCTGCTGCTGCTGCTGCTGCGTGCTCTCGAGCTTGGGCTGCAAGGAGACTTCCGCTACGACAGGCTCGTCCGCCAGCGCCTCCTGCAGCTGCGCGGCGCTGCCGCCCTCCGCTGCCGCCACCCCCTCCTCAACATTCTCCTTGTCCTCAAGCTGCTGGCCCAGCCCGGCAGCAGCGCCCGCAGGCGCGGTCGATGCCACCCTCAAGCCCCGCCGCGCTGCGGCCCCAGCTGCCGCTGCTGCGGCCCCAGCTGCCGCCGGCGCCCCGCCCGCCGGCGGCGGGTACAGCGGCAGCCCGCGCTCCGTGCTGGCCAGGTGCTCGTTCATCTCAAACGATGAAAGCGCCCCGCTGTAGCGCACCTGCAGCTGCACGTCCGCTCGGCCCAGCACCTGCTCGCGGCCGCCCAGGACCGGCAGCGTCGCCGCGAGCGGCGCCGACGCGTGCGCGGCGGCGAGCGGGAGCGATGCGGCGCCGACGCGGCGGCCGGAGGGGCACTCCTCGAGGGCGAGGACGAGGCTGCCGGCGTCGCGGAGGTAGCGGATGAGGAACTTTGGGCCGCAGCAGACCGGGAACGCGGCGCCCGCGCCGCGTTCTGGGTGGAGCGGCACGACGGTGCCGGCGCCCGGCTCGCCCCACCACTTGACGCGCAGCTGGACGGCGCGGGGGGCGCCGCGGGGCGAGAGCCATTCGAGGTTTTTCAGGGCCACTGAGAGCTCGCCCTTGACATCGCCGTCCACCAGGGGCGGCAGGCTGGTTGGAGAGATTTTGACGTGAGCGGGGCGTTGCGGCTGCTGCTGCTGCTGCTGCTGCTGCTGCTGGGTCGGGTGGAGCGGCGGCAGCCCGCCGCTGCCCCTCTGCACCAGCACCTGCGCCTGCGCACGTCCACGGAGCGTAGCTTTTTGCTGCTGCTGCTGCACCTTATAAATGGATTGCGAACCAGACTTGGCCTGTCCATGCGAGCCTGAATGCAATAGCCCCTGCTCTTGGCGCAGCTGCAGGGCGGTGCGTCGCTGGCTGGTGTCCGTCTGCATCGTTCGGAACTCTCAGCAGCAAGCGCGCGTTGTTGATGCACAGGCTGGTCGCTGCCAGAGCCCTTCAGCACCACTTTCAGCATGAATAAGCCGCATTCAACCCCATTCTACCCGCCTGCATCTCGGATGCGAGTTGTGTTTGAATGCGGCACAACTGCAGATCATATCACATCTCTATCAGCCACATAGACATGTGCCATGGTTTTTCACGCAGTTGTATCGATTGCGGCTGGTGGCCAACGAACGCCCGGTTGATAACGCCCTCGAGACCCTCGCTGAGTCACCCTGCTTCCTTTCCACCTGCCTTACCCACTGGTGTGAGGTACGTTGTCTTGCGTTATTAGCAATCCTCATATTCAACATTGACTGCGATCGTATATCTAGGAGCACACCCGTGCACATCGAAGCCGCGCGCCAAGATGAGGCTCGCACCAGCAACGAGCTGTGCCAGCGCACGGCAGCCTCGTATGATGCCAAAGCACTTGGCGGGCAACGGAGCAGTCCGCCGCATGAGTGGAAGCCGGGCGCCCGTCGTCTGCGTCTCTGTGGGGTCGCAGGCATCGCTGCCCGCCCAACACGCCCAGGATGCCCATGACACCCAGAAGGGCGGCTTGACAGCACAGATCATCGAAGAAGCCACAACAGAGGAGCCGTTCAGCTTTGAGCAGCAGTGGTGGCCGGCGGCCGTGCCGGACACATTCGGTGCGCGTCGCAGCCCTGCGTGTGTGCTGTGTTGACGCATGCCGTGCGACGGTTGTGGTGCATGGCGTGACTACCTTGGGATGTTTATGGTCCAAACATTTTACACACCACTAGTGAGGATCAAGTACGTGCATGTGGCTGTTTGTCGAATGCATGCACCAACCAGCCACGCTTGCACATCAACACACGAGCACACGCCGCCCTCTGCGCTTGTCGCGCGCGCAGACAAGACGCGACCGCACTCGCTGGAGCTCCTCGGCAAGCAGCTCGTGCTGTGGTACGACGCCCCTGCTGCAACGTGGAGGGCCTGCGACGACGTCTGCCCCCACAGGTGGGCGGCACGGCCCCTCACCACCAAGTCACTGGCTTGCGTATGCATGGTTCATGGCAGCCACAGGCAAGACTTGCATGGTGGCCACGTAGACACTACGGCCGTGCGTTCTGCACATGCAGACCTCGCAGACCTCGCACCCTAGCTGCATTCGCACCTGCCTCACATCACCCTGCCTCTTTGACATTCGCAATTCGGCAATCGACCCCGGCTGGCATCAAAGGCTTGCGCCGCTCTCTGAGGGGCGTGTCGACGCGTCCGGCCAGCTTGAGTGCGCCTACCATGGCTGGCGCTTCGAAGGCTCCGGCGCCTGCGTGCGCATCCCGCAGGCTACCGATGCGCGCGCGTGCTCGCGCTGCCGGGTGCGTACGTACCCGACGCGGGAGGGGGCGGGCCTGCTGTTTGTGTGGGCGACCCCGGACGACGAGGAGCGCGCGGGTGAGTGGAAAGGGCGGTTGTGGCTGCGGTGGTGGTGGTTGAGAGGAGGTGGTTGGTGGTGATGGTGTGGGTGGTGTGGGTGGTGGTGGTGGTGGTGGTGGTGGTGAGGGGGGCGTTTGTGGCGGTTGTGGTGTGGGTGTTGGGTAGATGTGTCGGGTGGTGAGCAATGGCTGTGCATCAATGTGCATCAAAACCGCGAATGCCGGATGCCGTTGTTGCGATAATGGACGCCCATCCATGCCTGCTTTGTTCAGCCACCGCGTTGCCAATCACATGGCGCGCGGCGTCCCTGCCTACCCCCTCGTCGTCATGCGGGCCTGCCATCATACACCCAATCGTGTTGCAGCCGCTGCGCCGCTGCCGCTGACCCGGGCGATCCTTGATCACGTGGCCGGGGGCGGCCAAATCACCTGGTACCGGCGCCTGCTGCCATATGGGTAGGGTGGGGTCAGAAATGGGCCAAAGGAGCTCAGGGAGGTTTTGTGCGCGGGCAGGGGCAAGCCGGGCCAAGTGGAGCACTGGCAGCGAGGCGTGGCGTCTCGCGGGGCGATGGCACGGCGCGGCTGCGCGGGGCGTGGGGTGAGGCCGGGCACCTCCTGGGGTGCGTGGTGGGTCTCGCGCCCGCTCGTGCGCGCCGTCTGCATCCGGACGGCGTGCAATCACCTGTTTGCCTAAAAGCCAGCCCCCCTCCTCTGAGCCCTGCTGCGCAGAGTTGCTCCGCCCTCACAAGCAGGCATGCGGACACCCCCTTTCGGGGCCCCCTCCTCGGCCCCTGCTCTGACAGGTGGGACGTCCTCCTGGAGAACCTCGCGGACCCCAGCCACCTGCCCTTCTCCCACAACGGCCTCGCCGGCCTGCGGCGCGAGAAGGCCGTCCCCATGCCCTTCACGTCCATCTCGCTCCCCAACGACGGAGACGGCGCCGGCACCGGCGCCGCGGGCGGCGAGGAGCGGCCGCCGAACGTGTTCAACCACGGGCGGCCGGTGGGGCTGTTCAGGTACCCGACCGTGTCGGGGGAGGGCTCCCTGGCGCTGGTGGCGGTCAACGCGCCCTGCAGCGTGTCCTATTTTTCGCGGCTCAGCTCAATCACCATCTCGTCAGAGGTGGGGTTTCAAGCGGGGGCCGCCGCGAGGGTCGCTGTTGCGCGGCAGGCTCGCAGGACTGGACGGCTGCGTTTCTCCACAGCTTTCAGTTCTGCGGGGGTTGATCACCTGCAGGAAGTTGCGTCCAGCTGACAATGTGGGCAGTCGCGTCGGTGTCATCCATCTGACATCCTCAACATTATTGAGTGCAGCCCCC